AGGAGCAGACGGCTGGGTGTGAAAGGACACGACGCGGCTGATTATAGTTCAGTCTAATTGGCGGATGCGCTCATTTCCACRGACTCGTGGTTAAGGCCGACACATCTGTGCACCTGCTGGCCAACGGCCGTGACCTTTGACCCGTGACACCTTGAAGGCGWTAACGCAGTGAAGACACGAGAACATCGCTTGTTTTCAACATGTTCTGGGACTGGTGTGGGTTTGAAGACTTTGTTTTTGGCCATTTTAAGGGGTTTGATTGGACAGATGTGAGGAGAGCTGAAGATGTTGGACTCACTGATGTTTGTCGTCGTTGCATCAGTTGCGTTATTGTGTTACACTGCAACAGCAAAGGTTTCTGAACAATCAAACCCMCTGCCAACAAAAATACTTTGAAGAAGGAAAAAAATGGCCCATCTCTGGATTATCAAATGCTCCTAAAGTTTTACCCAAAAACAACAAGGATCAAATTGGATAAGTGGAAGATCAACAAAATTTTATTTACGTATACCTGAATCATGACTCAGCTGTTATTGGTTTTGCTAACTTCCTAACCAAATTTAATCTAACATTTCAGCAAATGGAGAAAAATGCTCACAAAGAATTAAACTTTCGCCTCAAAGGTGCAACAAAACAAACTCAAACACTGCATTTTCATCTAAAGCGAGATATTCTGCTAAGAGATAAATAAGATGTATGTATGACCTGCTGTTTCACACATGATCTCAACTGACAGTGTCAGTGTTTTCACGTGTGTTCTCGGTGTGTGTGTGTGTGTCTGTGTGTACAGGTGTGGTTCCAGAACAGACGAGCCAAATGGAGGAAGAAGGAGAACACAAAGAAAGGCCCGGGGCGGCCCGCTCACAACTCCCACCCGACCACGTGCAGCGGCGAGCCCATGGACCCCGAGGAGATCGCCCGGAGGGAGCGCGAGCGGGCCGAGAAGAAGAAGCGCAAGCARGAGCGGAAGCTGCTGAAGTCACAGAGCAAGCTCCTGGCGGGCGAGAGCTTCCACACGCCCGGCGGCTCGGAGAGCGACAGCGGGGTGTCGCAGTTCACCGACAGCGAGCAGCAGCCTTCCTCCCTCCACGGGAGCCTTCACATCGAGCTGCCGGCGACGACGAAAGGCGGACACCAAACCGAATCCAGCTGCGACCAAACACCACATGACTTCGGTCAGCTCCAAAACCACCCAAACCAAAGAACCGCAGGAGAACCGGAGCAGGTTTCTCCGAGCAGCACGCACAGCTCCAGCCCTGGAGGTCCGAGGTCCTCGGCCCTGCAGAAACGCAACCCTTTCAGCGTGGAGAGCCTGCTGTCGGACAGCATGCCACGACGGAAATCTCCTCTGGACTTTTCCTCGCTACCCAATCAGAGAACTCTGGTGGGTAAAGGCCACTTCTTGCTTTACCCCATCACTCATCAGCCTTTGGGCTTTCTAGTGCCCCAAACCGCCCTGAAGGCCGCACCGTGTCAGGACAACAGCTCCAGACTCAGCCTGGGTCAGAGGTGCGAGCCAAGCGAAGGTAGCCTGACCCCCTCTGACCTCTCCGGCTTTGGCGGCATCAGCAACTGTTTGAACTCGAAGCGCACGTCGCAAACCACGCCGCATCACAACAATCACATCAGCAGCAGGGCGGAAGGAGGAGACGCGGAGGAGGAGAGCGCCGGGGACCGCAGGGACGGACCGCTCCCCGGCTCTCCTCCACCGAACACTGTGGCCACAGGCGGTCCGCCCGGCGAGGAGAGGCCTCGGGAAGCTCCAGCAGAGGCGGGGCCCAACGGCTGCCAAGCTGCTGAGCTGYGCGCGAGCGACCAGGACGCGAGAGCGGCGCGAGCGTCTCCAGACCTCTCCGAGCGTCTCCAGGCAAACACAGACTGCCGAGAAACACCCGGAACAGATGGAGAGGATGTCGACATGGACTAAACACTTTGGAGGAGCAAACATAAACAAAAGGACCAGGAACAACGCTCGCAAACATTCCCAAAGCTCTGCTCAGATCGCTCGAAAAACATATCAGGAATCAGGAGACTTAATCCTCATCTATTTTTTAATCAGAAAGAATCCACACACAGCTGTGGCCCCGCCCCCTCCCTCACACATTTTTTCCCCTTCTTTTCCAGGCTTTCCTTAAACCTTTTTTAGAAACAGGTTTCTCTCTCTCTCTCTTTTTTTTGTGAACAACTTGTAACAAAATTTAGGCTTCAATAATAATAAAAAAAACACGACATACAACAAAAATCCTCAGATATTGTAAAACAAAATGAGAAAATGCTATTTATATGTACACATTTTGATAAATAAAGTTATTGTTTTAATTGAACCACTGTCTTTCAGGGGTCTTAAGAAGGGGTGGGGG